TCATTTGCCCAAGCATCCTTTGGATTCTGGCAGTGCCAGCCAAGTATTTCCTTCACTGATAGAAGCTAGGGACAGGTTTCTATAGGAAAGAGGTAGAACATGCAACGAAATTGGCGGATTGAGTCTGGATTAAGTGGGTGGCCGACTTGGCAAAGCTGAGCTGGCTTTGGTTGTTTCTCCTTTTTTATCGTCTTGGACTGAAGCACAGGGACCCTGGCCCAGGGATTGTTTGGCCTCAGTGACAAGGCATCAGAGTCAGGTCACTCGAAAGGCCTCCTTTTATCCCTATACCAATGTTTACTTCCACATTCCTTAAAAGCAAAAGTTCAACTGAAGCAATGATGGCTTTGTCAATTTTTTTTTGTACTTTGTTCAATTTGCTTTCTTATGAAATGATAGCTTAAAGTGTTATTTGATATCTGAAATACTAAACTGGTTTTTATATTATCTATATTTACACGAACAAGTGTTTTTCTTTCTGTGTCTCCAAATGTGGAACATCCTTTTATATTTATGGCATATATAGGAAAGACATTATAAATGCAAATCTCATCAGTATGTGTTGGGAAACTGTTCACTAGATGAATGACATGCAATGCTGAGTTATTAATGCACACAGCATTAACTCTACAATAACAAACAAACAAAAACAATAATTTACCATAATAAATTTAAATATGATTTATGTATACTCTACATATAATGTAGTTCAAGGAAATGATACATTATTTAAAATGTTTATTGTTTTTTTTTAACTTGCTATTATAGAGTTTTTCAATTGTGATAATAATTATGCAAAATGTGCATTTCTTAGAATATGATGCTGGGTCTCAGTGTTCTCTCTCATATCCAGCCTGTTCATTCATTAAGAACTGTCTGTGCTGAGAGCTATAAATGCCCCATTGAAATGGGCAAACAGGAATATATCTAGTGATTCTGTCTTGTATACTTAAAAGAGAATTCCATTCATACTAACTACTCATTAACTTCAAAAGCTTCAGCAAATAGAGCTGTTACGTGTATTCCCCAGCCTCTTGGATTTCAGTAAAGCACTCAGTTCATGCTGTTTTATCAATAGTAGTGTTAATGACCACCGGTGGTAATAATTCACCTTAATTCAGAGTACAGAAAGAATCAGGTGATTTTCCTTAGGCTTTGGGTGCCACTACCCCACCCAAAGGGCCTGATCTGGCTTTCCATGACCCCACATAGTAAAACCCATCCATGCATTTCAGTTCTTCTCAGCTTGGTTTATCTGCAAACATAATTTATCATCCCTCTTGCGGCAAACACTATCTTCTCTTGGTTGCCAGCTCTTTCGATTAGCTGTTTTCCTCGTGCTGCTATGGCTACCTGTTCTCAGGTCACTGTGCCCACCTCGAGCCAGCCACCCTATCGTCCTCCTCCTTCTCATCCGCAATCACTCCCCACAGAGCCAGCCCGTCTGGTGACGTTAAGTGTTCACTGTACTCTCCATATAGAAATGAGTTGATATTTTTGCTCTCCTGACCTTTTATCTTCCTGAACTCCAGACCCATGAACACGCTGACAGGCTGTCGAGCTGGCATCTCAGGGAAGGCTGATTTCTAATGATGCTTCTCAGCCTATTTTTCTCAGGCATCCCCACTGCAGTCAAGGGCATTATCCCAGTGTAGGGAAAACCATGGCAAATTCTTGACTCTTCTCTTTTTCCCTGCAGCTGACTAAGCAGCAACATTTTGATGCTATCAGAACTTTACTTCCTTCCCTACTACCAATGATTCCATCACAAATAAGCCGCTGCTCTCCCCTAGACCTTTAGCAGCTGAGCTTCCTAAAGCTTCTGTCCTTATCTGAGCTGAGTCTCTGGACAAGCAGCTGGCGCCTGTTAAGATACCAGTTGTACCAGGTCACACTTCTGCTTGCAATACAATGACTTCTCAACTTTTTCAGACAAAGCCAAAATCTTTGCAAAGCCATCCAAGCTTATTACTGCTGCTTCTTCTTAAAACTATTGTAATTTCTCCTGCTCTCCACTTCCCTGTTCACATCTGTGCAGCCATCCTCTGTCAACTCCTAGAGTAAACAGGGCCTGTGCAGAGCCTTGGCAATTGCTCTTCTCCCTGGCTGGACGATTCTGCGCCAGCTGTCTTAAACAGACACTGGTGCAACTGATCCTGTTTGTGCTCTTCTTAAAGTGAACTCACAATTTTCAGGCCTCAATGGCTGCTAATATTGTCTCTTTTAGGGGTTTCCTGGCACCATTTTGTAACCTACTTGCATGATATTTATTAAATCTTTTTCCTACTTTTTCTCCCTAGCACTTTTGTCTTATTAATTGAACTTTTTTTTTTT